CACGAAGGTATTGGAGGTGCTCATAGGGCTGAACCCTCTATGAAGTAGACAATCATCCATTGCGGCTATTTTTTGCCACAAATCTAGTATGATTGCGTGGATTATGCTCGAGGATATTCAGCGTGTCAGTGCCATGGACCACTTTGAAAAGTCCCCGTAGAAGAACTTCATTCGATTATCAAACCTTCGCCTTTCCATGGGTGGATGGATATCATCATCAAGATTCATCCTCCATCTTCCAATGGACATTCTTTTATTCTCGTAACTACGGACTACTTCACGATGTGGGCGGAAGCCGTTCCATTGGCCAAAGTGCAACATGATAATGTCATACGCTTTATTGAGAATAACATCATTCACAGGTTTGGCATTCCAAAGACGATAACCACGACCAAAGGACCGTGTTTATGAGCGCGAAGGTCAGGGCTTTTACAGCTCAATAAAAAATCCAATTGCTCCATTCAACTTCGTACTACCCTCAGGCTAACGAGAAACCGAGGCAACGAACAAAATCTTGATTTTCATTATCAAGAAGGCGTTGGAAGACAATCCGAGGGGCTGGAATGATACTTTGAAAGAGGCTTTATGAACATAGCGGAGTGTCAAATCCTCCGTAATCGGAAGCACTCATTATAGGCTGACCTACAGCCATGACTTTGTGCTTCTGTTGGAAATTACAGTGTCTTCTCTCCGGATCTTGAAGATGAATCAGCTGTCGATGGGATAGCAGGATCAGACCCTACTTTAGGAACTTAACACTTTGCCCGAAAAAAGACTACAGGCACTTGAATGCACTCGACATCAAAAGAAGAAGACCATATCGACCTTTCAGAAGCATGTGAGGTCCCAGACTTTTCGGGAAAGTGACATGGTCTGGAAGGCCGTCAACCCGGAAAGCCCCAAAGATGCGAAGTTGGGGAGATGATCTCCCACATGGGAAGAACCATTTATAGTATCGGCCAAGTCATCCAATGGCGTGTATAGGTTGATGGAACCCAAAGGGGAGGAGTTGACGACGTTTATTAATGGAAAACATCTTAAAGATTTTATCATTCTCTTTTAGAGCTAAAAGGAAGGCATGGTCAGCCGGTCATTGAATGCGATCTTGCGGAAGGATGAAAAGCAGATGGACAAGCCGAGTAACTTTTAACAAAATTATCCGGACTACAAGTTAACTTTTGTCCAAATAATTTTGTGGGGGGCATTTGTACACACTCAAAAATTAATTGGATCGGCCCAACACAAGTGTAGCCCAAATCCTCAAGGTTCGCAGCCCAACAGAAGATCCAGATCAGCGAGTGGGCCTACGGACCTGACTAGCCCAAGGACCCAGCCGGCCTGGTGCATTTGAAGCAGTCAACGGATGAAAGAAGGTGGAAGTGAAGGTGGTTAGAGTTGTTGAGAATAATTGGGGATAATATCTTATCGAAACAGAATTCAAAAAAACAAATTAAATATCCAATGGTAGAACCAGAGGAAGAGAATGCCATTCATCATGAATCTTCTTCTTTTTTCATAATTTTTCTTTGCATTATTTTCTTGTAATTTTTCCAGATTTTTTACCGTTTTCTTCGATTAATTCCAATTTAATTTTCAGCTTCGTTCTTGTTTGTTTACCTTCCTTTTTTTCGTTAATTATTCGGATATCGCAAGATAGCCCAGATCCTTTCTTGAGAAGGCCGGGGAACCCTTCGAACAAATTAATTCCGACAGGCTTTTCCGATTAAGCCGTCAGTGGCGATTTTTTTACGACAAAAAAATTCTTCAAAAATTCATAACTGACTATTTGGCTATTTAATCGACTAATTTCTTTAGCTAATAGCCTATTCGTAGTCCTAACGTTATATTATGAAAATTTTGTATCAATCCGAGCCGAATTGAAAATGACAATATATTGCACCTACCTGTTTATTCATATCTTTAAGTATTTTTATTTAATAATCGGACAATATAAATATTATGAGATATAAGAGTTTTATAGTTAGAATATTGTATTATACTAAATATAGAAGTTTGAAGCTCGACGAGCTAATTATAGAAATTACCTTTTGAATAAGCATGTAGCTCCTATGAATAAAAATATAACTCATCTTATTTGAGTAAATAATGGGATAGGTGTACGTTGGAGGAGATTTGAATGAGATTGCAAAAGTTAGGAAGTGTCGATAAGAGGTAAAGAGTCTGGAATTAAATCTAATTTAAAAAAATTAGGTATGCATGTTTCATGCGATTCTGATTAATATGTTAATATGATATATGTGAATCATTTTGTCAATGCATGTATATCTATATATATGTGTGTGCGTATGCATGTGTGAGATTTCGCATTTTATGATATTTGATATACATATTTGATCGTGTTTGTGAATTTATGAAAATGAGGAGAGGCGAGCTGTCTCACTAGCCCTTTTCGGTAAATTCACTTATTTGACATGCTGCACGTATATTGCACGGTTTATCGAATATATTTTATGGATCTATCGTTTAGTCGCCGTGTGCGGTAGTGCTACCCGAGGACATCATCTGGGGTTAGGATATTCGACCCTGATGTACCGCAACACTTTGGCGATAGTGGACGATAGTAGTCGGACAACTGGGTGACTTAGTCGCACAGTCATTCAGGGATTAGACCCATTGTAGTTGAAATGTATTTGGTCTAATCATTCGTGTTAGGTGTTGTTCCACTCATTGGGCTGGCCACTGGTGAGGTCTACCGGTAGTTTAGGATCATATGCCAAACTGGCGCGCGAGGAGGAGTAGAGTTTCCGGGTTTTCCTTGGGTAATTCCAAGTTGCACGGATTCTACTACATTACACGGGATAGGGCTAGTCAGTGGGGGTCCTATCTTCGCTATCACAGACTATGGGGCGTCTTGTGGTTAATGGCGACAACGTTCGGTTATTCATGTATCGATTGTGGGAGTCGTATGGTAGGCATATGGAAGTGACCGGATGACCGTTATATTATTATGGGTTTATCAGGTCGTCTCTTGAGCCGAAGATTTTCCGGCTATTTATTGATGATGGTCTAGTGAGCTATTATTATGGGGCCGAGGTTATTCCGGCTACTCACTTAGACAGATGTAGTGAGCCTATTATTATGGAGCCGATGTTATTCCGGCTGTTCACTTCGACGGATGTTTATATATATATATGCATGTGCATTGTTGTCGAGATTGATATTCTTGTTGCATCATTTCACTATCTCATGACACGTATTTTATGATTGACGGAGATTAGACTTTTTTTTAAAATGTATGACATTACATATTTCACGTTAGTTCTTAAAATGAATTTAATTCTAGACTGCTTTTAAGAAAAATATTTGGTTCAAGTATGCGTGGCACCTCCGAGACAGAGGACGTCTCAGGATATAGGAAGACGGACTGAGTGAGTGAAGTTTACATCTATTGTATTATATGTAACCGGAAAAAAGCTCTTGTTAGGAGTGTATTTTGTAAATATTCATAAATCAGATTTTGTTATATAATAATGCGCTTTTATGGTTGATTCTAGCCTTAACACTGTATTATGAGGCCCGAAGTAGGAAGTGACAACCTCATGATACAGTGTGGCAGTAGCATTTCCAGTATGAGCCAACTGCGGGTGTTACAGAGACACCCGCCCAGGGTCCAATATAAATGAGAGGCCCGTCAAATATTTATGTTATATATGTATAGTTATTATATATAGAACTTACTTTATTTACTTAAAATTAAAAGTAATGCAGTTTAGTGGTGTGAGATTATTTTGTAATGTCGAGGTCATCGGCTCTAATTCATAGGATTTCCATCCCATAATAAAGTATCAATTTCCTTTTCTAGTAATTGTACTATCTACCTAACATTACAAATACTCTTCCAATTTATAATATATTACACAAATATCATTATCTTTATATCATAAAATACTAATAAGGTTAGTTTAGTCTTTTTACCTTTATTTCTACTACATTCCAATATAATACTAATATTTCTAAAACTCCGTACAAAAAGTAAATTGATAGATAGATATGGGACAAATGGACTATTATTTATATATATTTAGACACCCCTATTTTTGTTTTGCCTCAAGCCTCTTGAAAGTCGGGATCGGCTCTAAACATACCATTAGCAAGAGAAGGATAATAAGAGATGAGTGTATTTCAGCGATCTTGTAAAAATATTCTGCCAAATGCGTTGTGATCCAAGTATGTTTTCAATTTCTCGCATAAACATATAAAATTAAAAATATAAATTCTTTTGTAGTATTATATAAATAACTAAATAAATAAATTGAAGCAAATTTATTTTTCTTTCATGGTTCGATTTCGATTTCAATATTTTTTAAACCATAAACTTTTAGTTTTGGTTCAATTTTGGTGTGTTTTTTTTTGTGTTTTTTTCACACGTTTTTTTAATTAATATCAATATATTAGATATATTTATTATTTTTATATTATCTATATAATTTTTTACACCTCATATAAAAAATATATCTCTTCAAATTATTTCATAAAATAAACACACTGATTAAACATTTTCTTTTAATAAAAAAAATAATATAAATATTTAGTTTATTTCCAAAAAACGACATCGTCTTTGTTGATTTTCTATAGTTGTTTGAGGAATTAGATCGCTTTCATCGGGGTGAAAATAAAGAAAAAAAAAAAAAAAAAAAAAATCAAAGAAGGAAAGAGAAAAAAAAAAAAAAAAAAAGTATAAAAACAATGAAAAAGGAAAATTGATAAAAAAAAAAAAAGAAATGATAGAATTGATACTAGGTGACAAGACCGTGACATGACACTAATATAGTGATTTTAACTTGTGGGTAATATTTTTGTTATATTTATAAAATTATTATATTTCTCGTCTTTTGCCAAATTATTTACTCTCTCCGTCTTATTTATTTTTATAAGGGGCACTCGATCATTAAATCAACATGTTCTTTATTCTATCAACTAAATTCATCGTTAGTCGATAAAAATTATTCAAAAAAATAATAATAATATTTTCCATAATATAAAAAGAGATCAAATACATTTATGAAGGGATACGCAGGTACCCGTAGGCGTCAATATACACACACATACATACATTCCGGGGAACATTAAAAAAAAAATTCTACCCGGAATATGGATACACACCGCACTCTATTATACAAACAGTTTGTTTTTTTTTTTTCAAAACAAATACTCAATAACTGAAACGCCAGTAGAATTCGGCCACGTCACTTGAGTCGTAACCATGAAGTCTTCATATCCGAACGCGGCTTTCTCGCCGTTGACCGTACACGCCGCCGGTTTCTCCGAGGCGTACGCCCTCATCTCTCCGGTTCCCTTCACTGCAATTCGAACAGTGCTTCCCTGAATCGCCATTGATTGGATCGCGCCGCCCGTGTTGAGCATGTTCACCAGCCCAATCGCCGCGAACTGGACGGAATTCTTCTTCACAACCGCCACAGGGGACACTGTGATCAGCTCGAAATCGAACGGCTCCAGCGACACGTCTATGGCGCCGGAGGGCTCACAGAGGACCAATTTCTTCTGCCGGAACAGGTACATGGCGAATTTCTCAACTCCTTCTAGAATGATCTCCTTCCTCCCTTGCTCCCACTCCACGTCGCTCGGACCGACCGCCGCGGCGACGGCGCGTGAATATTCCGACGCGCACTTGTTCCGCCGCGTCTCCCGGCACCACCCGCCGCCTTGGCAGTTGAACGCTCCGACTACGCCGGTAAACTGTTGGACGAAAGTCCGATGAGAAATTTAAATTCAATAAAAAATTCCTGCAAATCAATCTCACTCACCTTATTCAAATTCCAGATCTTCAGCATCGTCTTCCCATCGTGCAGAGGATCTTCAAACAAGCAATCCCTAGCCGGCAAAGCGTAATACTCGCAGCGGAGAATGGAGCCGTCGGGCAAGACGAGGCTCTTCAGCAGCCGGAAATCGTGCTTCCCGACGGAGTCACTGACGTAGATCGGACCGCCGGAGATCGCTCGCGAGGCGGCGTGGAATTCTGCGCAAGGATGAGTCGACTGGAACATATCCCAATCGGGGTGGATGAAATTCCCCATCCACAAGCTGTTGTAGGCGCAGTGCACCATGTGGCAGCCCTGCAGCCAGAAGGTGCCGTTGGGGTCGCCGGACGGATCGGTGCACCAGAAGTCGTCGCCGACGCGGCCGAGGGAGATCGCCTCCGTGCCGAGGAACATGAAGTCGTTGCAGTGCTCCATGCTCGCAATAACGCCGTTACCATGGAAGTGTTTCTTAACGGAAGCCGTCAGCGCCTTGTAATAGGCCTTCGCCAGCTCCACCCTCCCGCCGTAGTCCTCGCACAGCATTTCCAGCAACTGCACGTTTCCAGAAGCATCTATGTATCAGAAAAAAAGATGTTTCTAGAATGCTAAAGAGACGGAGTTATTAGTAATTAGAACGTACGTGGATGACGTCTACTTTGACGCCGTCTATCCCGACGGACTCCAGATGAGAGTGAAGCCCTTCGTACAGCTGATCCGCCATCTCCGGCGGGACCAACCCAACGCCGTTATTAACGATCTTGTCAACCGCCAGATCTTCCATCGTCGTTTCCAATCCCGACGTCAGCTTCGGCGCAATGACCTTGGCCTCCGGCAGGCCCAAAACGTCGGGCCTGAGCCCGCCCCAGTATCCACACAAGGCGTGCCAGACGTACACGTAGTCCACCGTTTGGAAATTGTCCTTGAGGTCATGGATGAACGCTCCCATGCCTTCCTTCGGGCCCGGGCCGGACTGGTTCGGGCTCTGATAGTCTCTGAACTTGTAATTCTCCTGGAACTTGATCAGCCTGCAGGGCATCTGTTCTCCGGCGGCGGTCCGGTTCATCCCTTCGTCGGTGATCGGATCGTCGTCGTGGCTGATCGACTGCCAGCCGTCGTCGATTAAAACCATCCCGGGCGGGCACCCGCCGTCGGTCAGGGCTTTGACGCCTTCCCAGACGCCGTCGGGCTGGACGGTCAGGTAAAACGCGTCCCACGTGCACCACCCGAACTTGTCCACGATGCCCGGGGGAGTTTTCTCCTCCAGCAGCTTGAACGTCCCCATGTGCGCTCGAGCGACTTTAATGGCGTCTTTGACAAGGGTAAACGGGTCGGATCCGGCATGCATGTAAAGGGCCGCCCGGAAATTGGACCCGGTTACTCGGGTCGACCCGCTTTCGACGCACAGGTCGATGTAGTCATCCACGCCGGGCTGCAGGGAGGCCCGGAAGGGGCCCTCGATGAGTGGAAGTAGCAAAACGTAGGGGCGATTGTTGCTCTCTCCAGGCTTGTTGGATGATCTGTCGAGGATGAGTATCTGGGTCTCCCGCTCGAGATCCGACCCGTTTGACCCGACCCAGTGGGTGGTCCACCAGACCTTGAATCGGAAAATGGACATGAACCTGATGTTCTTGAGCTTCCCGATGGGGACGACGTGGTAGCTGCTGGCCTCTTCGGCGTCGAAACCGACGAAGCAGCCGGGATTGACGGCGGCACGCAGCGGCGCCGCCTTCTTTCCTCCGACGTCGTACGGCGACGGGGAGGCGACGATGTTGGGCGGAACTTCGGAGAGGATGACGTGATCGTTGACGTAGAAAGTGGATTCGTCGAGGGTTATTAAGGAATCTTGGAATCCATTGACGACGACAGTGGCATTGGAGTTACCTCTGCTCAAACTTGGAGCCATTTTAATTTAAGAACAAAAACAGGAGGTGATCGACGAAAAAGGAGAAGAAAGGTGAGAGAGAGATTTTGAGTGTTTACAAAGTTTTGGTTGTGAATCGATTGCGTTTTTTGGGTTGAGGGAATTGGGGGAATTTATAGGCAATGAATGGATGGGACGGTCGATGAAGAAGGAAGAAACGAAGAAGAGGAAGTTGTCGTTTTCGTCGAGAACAGTTCTTCATTTCTCATGGGAAGGAACGGATAACAGAGTCTAATTTGAAATATTTATTTATTTATTAATTAATTAATTAATAGAGAGAGTCTAGCAGTAGTTGTGTGGAGGAGACTGGAGCTTTCTTTCGTATGTTAGAAAAGAAAAGAAAAGAAAATTTGATTATATTATATTAATGGATAAGAAGGGGACAGCTGAGATTCGGAGTAGCGGTGGGAGGGCTCCGTGTGGACCCTACACGTTAGGTTTAGCCCATCTAAATCTAGTCTATTCTTCACTCCCTTGCGTTATAGGTCACCTCTTCTGGGTCCCCATGTAATTTAAGGTTACATTTCAAGTAGGGATGTAAGTTAGCTTGGAAAGGTAATTCGAAATTTGCCCTAGAATAAAATACTACTCTATATATTATTATTATATAATACTATAAATAATTAAAAAAATAATAATAAAATAAAAAACACATCAAAATTATGTTTGGTAAACAGTTTTTTAGCTGTTTGACCAGTAAATCAGTTAATTTTAGTGTTTGGTAAATTAATTAGTTTATTGGGTCCAAAAAAATTAATTTTGAAAAATTGTATATACCAACGTTTCAAATTAATTTTTTTATTTTAATTTTTCTTATTTTTATTTGCCCTTAAAATTAATTAATTATTTCACATATATTCATATATATTTTTATTACACTATTTATTAATTATTTAGATATATTTTTTTCTAATAATTTATAAATTCATATTTATAAATTTAAAATAATTATTTTTTTATATATCAATTATTTTATTTATAAATTTTTTTAATTTTTTTAGAATAAAGATAATATAAAAATATTAATATTATTGAATTAATTATATAGCAATTTTTTATCATATAATATTTTTAATAAAAATGAATATATTTATTTAAAATTATAGATTTAATGTAAATATATATTAATTAAAAATTAATTTAATAAAAATACATATGTTAATAATTTTTGCTCTTTTATATTTAGGGTGTGTTTGTTTGGGGGATTTAATAAGATTTCTACTATTCATCCAATTTTTTTCCCCCAAAAACATCAAATCAAACACCTATTTTTCATTTTTTATATTATACTAAAAATCAATTTTACATTCAAAACATCACATCAACACCTATTTATATCACATCATACAACTATTCAAATTCAAAATTTTTACTATTCAAATCCCAACTCAAAATCCAAACCCCCAAACAAACACACCCTAAATAATATTTCTAATGAAAAAAATATAAATTTTTCAATAAACTTGTATTAATTCTTTACAAAATATTTTTAAAATAATAAAAATAAATATCTTACTAAATTTTTCTAATTTTTAAAATTAATAATAAAATTATAAAAAAAGTCTACCAACCGAAAAAAATTCAACTAAATATTTTGAAAATAAAATATAAAATGTCCTTAATTGTCATTATACGTATAAACAGCTAATATCAAATTTCTATTTTACCAAATATTTTAATACAAACAGCTAATCGAATTAGTTAGTCAAATCCGCTAATTGAATAAGCTAACAATTAACAGCTAATCGAATCAGCTAGCAGCTAACCGCTGTCAACTAATTGTCAAATACACCCAATAAATCAACAAAAATAGAAATAATAGACAAATAAAGTAAAACAGATGAAGTACTATCTAAATCATGTTTAAATTTGTTGGATACTCAAGTTTTATTTAGATAAGAAATTTTTTAAAAATTTAAAATAATAATATAGAATTAGTATTTGATGTAAATATGATATTTTATTAGAAAAAATATTTAATATAACAAGAGATGTGATAAGTGCTCTTTTGTCATGACACAGTAGTCTAGATATACATTATTTTAAACTATTTTTTAATTTTAAAAAAATAAAAAATTAATCAAAGAATTAATATAAAAAAATTTTAAAAAAATAAAAAAAAATACATTAATACTAAAAATGGTGTTGCAATACCATAAATTGTGTTAGAAATGGTGTCTGACGGAGGAACAAAACTCCATTTACGCAAATGCAACATAAAAAATGCAGCTTCGGAGATGCTTTAATAATAAGTTATAATATTATTTTAAGTATTATTTCGATACGAGTAGTGTTTTTGGTATTTTAAATATTTTTATAATTATATTTTAATAAAATATATGCAATATAGATATCATTTTGTAAATAAGAAAATTTTAGATAATACAAATAAATAAAAAATATATATAATTATTTGCTTATAATTATCTTAAAATTAATTTTTTGTAAAAAAATTGAGAAGTTTAAATATAAATAAAAATATTTGTTTATTAAGGAGAAATATGGAAATAAGGCAATTTTGAGTGGATCCTATCCGTAAAAAATTTAAAATTTAAAATTAAATTAAATTGATTTATATTTGTTAAATATATTTAAGATAAATAAATTTATTAAAAATAAAAATAGCGCATCTTTTATGGGACGGACAAAAACATGAATAGTTTGTGGCTGAAGGGACGAGTATTATCTAAAATGAAATAGTGTCAGAATGCCAATTATGTTTTTGTAATCTTTTCAGGCATTTAAATTTCAGTTTGAATATTTTAATACTCTTTCCGTCTTATTACAATAGTCTTATTTATCATTTTTGTCCGTCTCAAAACAATAGTCTCAATTTAATAAATAATCATATCACTATAAAATTATCCTTATTTTTTTATTATTATTACACAATTGCCACTACTTTTTACAATAATACGCTCACAAGGGCAAAAAAGTTTTTTACTAGTACTTTTTACCTACTACCAATATGATTTTAATATTCCTTAAATCACGTGTCAAATACAATCCAGACTATAGTTTTAGGACGAATGAAGTATTTTAGAGCTGTTGATATTTGAAAGATAATTTTTAGGTAAAAATACCTTACATTACATATTGGTTTCTTTATACTATAAAAATATAATATATACATTGAGCGAATTTTTACTGGAAATAGGAATTATTATAGTGAAGATTCAATGATCTATAACTTTTTATTGTACTATTATTACTAATTACATGGGTTATTATATATTTTACTATATACTAATCATTATTATATATATTAAAATTTTATAATTTACAATTATATATATCATATATTTCCTATCAATACTATTAGAGTATGTTTGATACAAAAAATATGATGCATCTGGTACATAAAAATTAAGAAAAATAAATTTAATAAAATTGCATTTGGTAGAAATTTTCAAACCCAATATTCAATCGGAATTTTTGATCAGATACTCGTAATTCAAAAAATATATATTTCAAAAAAAATACCATATTGATTAAATCGAATCCAATTGAGTCAGATCAGACTTAATGCCATATTAAAATATATATTTCTTTCGTTTACTAAATTTATTGTTTTTTTTAATTTATCCATTAAATTTTTTTATTATTAATTTTGATAAAGTAATAAAAAATTAATAATTTATTATTAATTTTTATTCAATACTTATTTATAACAAATATTATTATTTTTATTATATTATCTCTTTATTTTATAATTACTAACTAAAATTTAAAAATATTTCCAACTACTTTTTTATTTATATTACTTTTTAATAATATACTTATTTTTTTAATTCTCGACCCAAATATATTAATTTTACTGGATGGACGGGAATATATTATTTTGAAATATTCCACGCCTATTTATTTATCTCACATCACGGGAAGGCTATTAGCATGTTGAATTATTTTACTCAATATTGTGTTGATAACACATAAATTATTAACATGTAGTATGCAAAATATAAATGAACATGACAATGTATATGTTAATAATCTCTTCGTCCTATATGTTAATAATCTCTTCGTCCTGCAACAGATGATTAATTTTATTATTATTTTTTTTCCATTTCATGAAAGATGTTTTTAGTAAATTTATTTTATTTTAAGCATACTTAACAAATATAAATTAATTTAATTAAATTTCAAAATGATATCTCTCCTCAATAGATTAATTTATCTATATTTAAACATTTTTTATTTTTTTATGAAATTAATTTTAAGTTAATTATAAATATATAAATATATATATTTTTTATTTATTTGTGTTATATAAAATTATATTATCTATAAAATGATATACATATTATATACATTTTATAGAAATATAATGTTAAAAATATTTAAAATATAATAATATTATTCATATAAAAAATAAAAAATAATATCATAGCATATTATTAATAACTAACTAATCTACACTATCTAAAATACTGTATTTCTAAGCAAATGGTCATCTGATCCGGAACGGAGGGAGTATAGTACAAGTACATCATATAAACTAAGAGTGTGTTTGTTTGGGGGTTTGAGTTTTTCTTTGGAATTTGAATAGTAAAAATTTTGAATTTGAATAATATGAGATATAAATAGGTATTGACATAAGTTTTGAATATTGTTGATACGTGAATTTCAACAATAAAAAGTAAAATCGTAATTTGAACTTGAATAGAAAAATACCTGAGGTCCTAAATCTCTAAACACAGTACTCAACAAAGCTGAAGATTGACACAAAGACAACTGAAAATATAAAATAATGATTCTAATGAAATTTTCTCTGAAATTGTTGTTGATTGAAAATGTTCTACATCATCGTATTGGAGTCTCTGATATACAAATCCATCTGAACTGCCTCAAACCGCTGCTCAATTGGTTACCAAAATCATGCATCAACCCGTTTTCGATTACAACATTTATTGCCGACGTTTCAACTCAGTCAGTCGCAATCATTGACGACCAATTCGGAAACCTCAATCGGTTCCTTCACAACCAATTGACCAAGAAAATCCTAGTTGGATGAGCTTATCAAACAATTAACCGACCAAACAAATCCGACAATCCTTCTGGGCCCCCATCGTTCGGCCCGAACTTTGTTCGATTCAAAATTCTACCAGGCCGACCACTAGACCCATTCTCTTC